CCAGGCAAAAAGTGCAGAGAATTTGAATTGCAAGCACTATATTTAACCCTGTAACTTTCCAGGACACCTTAAAACCTGTACATTGGGGGTACCATTTTACTCGGGAGACTTCGCAGTACCCTTAGTGTACAGTTTTTATGGTGTTTTGGAAAGTTAGAGGGTCAAATATAAGGCTTGCATTTCATTTTTTAGTAGACAAAAAGTAGACAAAAGTAGACAACTTAAGGTATAGCCAATGGGGTTTGTCCAGGACCGGATTAACATAGGGGCTGATGGAGCTGCATCTCCAGGCCCAGGCCCAGGCCCAGGCCCATGGAATATTTTACTGATTTAAAAAAAAATATATATATATATATATATATATATATATATATATATATATATATATATATTTTTTTTATTTTTTCACACACTACTCTTAGGGATTCCACCTGGCTTTTATTTTATTGGCACAGCCAGTATTTGAGGCTGCCTGGCTGGTGCCAATATTGCAGTGATACTGGCAATACAAATGCTGGTATTTTTCTCAGTATAAACAAGAGATTACTATGCAATACTAGCACTGGCCAGTAGGGGTCGCTGAATGTGGAGACAGGCAGGGATAGGAAGTTCCAGCATATCCCTCCCTGCCTATCGATACTCACTGATCTGCAGGGGTGCAGCTACAGAGAGTCCAGACAACAACTCCCACCCTGCAGAGACAGCCTACAGCTCAGGGAAGTAAGGGATGGGGGGAAAGGCTGCAAGGAGACACACTGAGACACTAAGGGACATTGGGAGACATTATGGCAGACACTGAGACACTAAGGGACACTTGGGAGACATTATGGCAGACACTGAGACACTAAGGGACACTGGGAGACATTATGGCAGACACTGAGACACTAAGGGACATTGGGAGACATTATGGCAGACACTGAGACACTAAGGGACATTGGGAGACATTATGGCAGACACTGAGACACTAAGGGACATTGGGAGACATTATGGCAGACACTGAGACACTAAGGGACATTGGGAGACATTATGGCAGACACTGAGACACTAAGGGACACTGGGAGACATAATGGCAGACACTGAGACACTAAGGGACATTGGGAGACATTATGGCAGACACTGAGACACTAAGGGACACTGGAAGACATAATGGCAGACACTGAGACACTAAGGGACACTGGGAGACATAATGGCAGACAATGAGACATAAAAGAAGGGACATTAGGAACATTAGACACTGAGACACTAAGGGACATTGGGAGACATTATGGCAGACACTGAGACACTAAGGGGCATTGGGAGACATTATGGCAGACACTGAGACACTAAGGGACATTCAGAGACATTATGACACAGACACAGTGCCCCCTAGTCTCCCAGTGACCCCTAGTCTCCCAGTGCCCCCAGTCTGCCAGTGTCTCACTGTCCCCAGGTCTCCTAGTGCCTCCATGTCTCTCAGTGCCTCAAGTGTCACAATGTCCCCATGTCTCCAAGCTAGTGTCCCTAGTGTCTGTGGCCCTGGTGTCTGTGTCCCCATTTCTCCCAGTCCCCCCATGTCTCAATGTCCCCCAGCCAGTGTCTCTAGTGTCTGTTTCCCCGGTGTCTGTGTCCCCATGTCTTCAAGTGTCCCCTATTGTCCCATTGTCCCCATGTGTCCCAGCCAGAGTCCCCTAGTCTCCCAGTGTCACTGGTGTCTCCGTGTCCTTAGGTCTCCCTGTGTCCCCAAGTCTCCCCGTCTTCCTAGTGTCCTAGTGACATGGGGACCCTGGGATACATGGGGACACAGGGAGACATGGGGCATTGAGACACTGTGATACATAGGATCACTGGGAGACCTGGGGACATGACACTAGGGGACACTGGGAGACATGGGGCACTGAGACACTGATACATAGGAACACGGGGACCTGGAGTAATCGACACATGGGGGCACTGAGTCATGAGGGCACTGGGAGACATGGGGCACTGGGAGGAATCTATACAGCAGAATCAAACTATAAAAGTAGTTTTTTGGTGATTTTACAGCATTTTCTCTTATGTCACTCCTTGTAATTTGCATGATGTGATGTAACCCATACATATTTATTTATGCAAATTAGTAAGGCCAGTATGTTTTTTCCAAGAAAGGTGGCAACCCTAACTACTTTTCACATACTCTTACTTAAGTGTGGAAACTGAAGAGGGATGTATGGGAACAAAACATGTGTAGACTGGCTGACAATGAATATAGTTAAAGGGACACTATAGTCACCAGAACAACTACAGCTTATTGAATTTGTTCTGGTGAGAAGAATCATTACCGTCAGGCCTTTTGCTGTAAACACAGTCTTTTCAGAGAAAATGCAGTCTTTACATTACAGCCTAGTGATAACTTCACTGGCCACTCCTTAGATGGCTGTTAGAGATCCTTCCTAAAATGCATCCAAACATTCAGTGTCTCCTCCAAAATCTGTGGAACTGTTTTGGGCAGGAAAGCCATGCTGGTGGTCGGTCAAATGAGGCTTCCAGCTATCTCCCGAACCACTGGGCCAATTCATATCATTTTTGGATATGTTTGTTCCCTAACTATGCTCATTCAGAAAATTTAAGTTTTATTGAAATTGCATGTATAATTTTGAAGTTATAAAAATTATGTAAAAAGTGTATTTTTCGCTTGGAGATAATTGAGTTGGTACACTAATTAACTCAATTATCTCCCAAGCAGAGGGGAGGAATTTACTGTAATGAATGGGAGTGTTTATCTGTGTGACTGTAAACTATTGGTTTTTGAGTTTGTGTTTTCAGTGCCCAACAAGGTCCACATGGGTGGTAACCTTGTGGGAAAAGTTGTATATAAGAAGCAATAAAGCCCCAGTTCAGTCTGTTCTGTTCTGATCTGCTTAACCCTCAATACGTAGCCTCATCTCGTTATTGTAGGGAACTGCTATGACTATGGCCCATGGCTAAC